TTTCGATTTCTAACCTCTTTTTTTCAATAAATTCAATCTAGAATTTCGAGAATGGAAGTATTAGTTTCTGGAAGAACTCTGAATCAATGGGGATAGCATTCTCGAACGTGACAATCCCAGAAGACGAAGCGGTATACCCTCATATATGCGTGAAGAATTGTCGTGTGTCCGTCAATTTCGGCACGTTTCCCGGTGGCGAAGAGGAGTGGCTCAAGTGAGATGAAACTCGCTTTTGTCTTCATACCTCATTTTCTCTCATCTGGCATATTTAAGGCGTCCGGAGTGGACATTTCCAAACTCTCTTCCAAGCTCACAAACGGAGCGTGCTCCTATTCCACCGGAGAGTAAATCTGATTGCACTGTACTTATGATGGTATGATATTCTTTTACTCGGAAACTATATTCTTGCTTACGTATTTCTACAATTCTGAAATATTTTTCTCAGTTGGTTTCTCTTGTTCTTAAAAAATTTCTGAACGTATGAATACTTTTTGATTGCAGTTAGAATGCCCTAACAAGCTCTTAGATAAAGGTTTCATTGATGTAGAAATACATATTCTGCTAGTGCACTTCATTATTTGTTTTGTGATGAAGTGCTTAAAATATAGCTAATAGATTTGATGAATATTGATCAAAATTTTCTGGTATACCTCTCATATTTTTTTTCACAGGTTGGCTTACCAAGTGTGGGAAAGACTACCTGGGTTCGGCGTTATATACGTGAGCATCCCAAGGAACACTGGACGCTTATCAGTGCTGATACCATCTTAGCTTCCATGAAGGTGAATTTAATTTCATGATATGTACTTCCTAAACATTGATAGAAGGAGAAACGCTCTTTGTTGACCACTTCCTTTTTGACAGCTTTGCTATGTAGTCCAATCGTGACAACTTTTGTGTGCAATTAGTCTGCCGTGTATAAGAATTTTTTGTTCACTAAGAATTTATCACAAAGGTGAATAATAAATGTGGCATTTTTGCAGGTGAACGGCGTGTCAAGAAATAGCAGTCATATAGGGCGATGGGATATGGTTCTCGGTTTAGTTGGAAAGGCTCGGAACAGGTGCTGTGAAAGAACATATCTGTTCTGGATATCGTTTAAGTCTCATTGTTTAGGTTACTTTCTTTGGCAGCTCGCCGTAGACGTAATTACATCCTCGATTTCACCAATTGCGATCCAGATACGCGGAAGAAGCGTTTAGCTCTTTTCGAAGGATTTTTCAGACAGGTGATCAACAGATTATATCTCAGCATGATATTGAGCTAAAAGCTCATTGTGGTTCCCCTGTCCGAAAATCTGCCTTATTTGTATTAATTTTGAAGTACAGTCCAGTCCAAACCCTGGCTCTATCGTCATCATTTTGCTGAACGAGTAGTGTAACTAAAACCCTTGCAAATTTTTCAAGATCTGTTTCTTCCCTAATTGGCAGCTACTCAACGCACCCACGCCTTCAGTCACACGGCCTGCAGCGATATTGAAAGCGGCATCTAGTAGCAGCTCCACACCTCGCAGTTCCAGACTCAACCGTAAATCGTCGGCTCTCTTCCTCCTAGCTTTGCCTTTAGTCCCTTAAAAGACCATCAAACAAGAGGAAATTAATAAAGCCACCGCTTAGTCGCAGGCACGATTCACGTTAAATAGCTCCGCGCATATTCAGCATAGGCAGGCATTAGCGCTCGGATTTAACGATGAATGATGCTTTGGACATATAAGTAAGCTTACCTATATCCAGAAACCAGCAATGTAGGGGGGGGGAGAAAACACGTTGAGCCTAATACGCGAAACATTTCCGGACGGTAATCGGACTACCTTAGCTCAATCGTTGATCTTTATCCGCGCTCAAGCACACACAGAGTAATGAGTTTCAGAATTCTTCGTGCTTCCACGATTAGTGCTTCTTCACTGCTCCGATTGATTACTCATTTGCTATGACCACTTGTTTTAGTGTGTAACGATTGTTCCATCTGATGAAGTGATGCAACAAAGGCATGCAAAACATCTCCGTCAGAATAGGGGAGAGGGAACAGCAGCTGTCCCGATTGAAACTTTTCTCGAGCTCAAAGGCATGAACTTCACGTTCATTCAGCAGTTTATTTGTCACTATGCCATCATTTTTAGCTGTGATGGAAATGCCAGTAGATCCGAGTTTCTGGAAATTTATATATTTTGATCCGGCAATTGAGAATGCTCAATCGCCATCGATCGTAATACAAATATTTTTTTTTTTATATGTTTGAAGCGAGCCGTTTTGGGAACTACTTGGACTACAGATCAGACTTTAACTTAGCTAGTTGGGATGACAGAATGCCGGGTTGTGTCATATCCGTTCCCGCCGCGCGGCAACAGATGACAGAAATCACCAGTGTCCCGAGCGATACTGCGGGATCCTTTCTAATCCCGCCGCAAATTCTGCTTGATAGTGATGACTAAAATGACGAATGTTCATGATTCTACTTGTTTCATACGTGTTCAATAATGTTAAAGGGCTTTGCGATTTTTCGTCACCATCGCGCAAATCTCGCCCGACCGTTAGCGTGCTCTGACAACCATAGCTTTTATCCACATTTCTGTAATCTAATTTCCATAGATTCAACGCGAAGAAGGCCTCGCAGTCAAAGCAATACATAACAAGAGCGAGGTTTATTGAATGGCCACCTATGGTGCGAACCAATACAGAAAAACGTTATCATATAATCTATGGGAGTAGCGTAATAACTTCGTATAGCATAATATACGAAGTTATACGAAAAAAAAACATTAAAGGCAAAAGTCGGGCTCAATAAGGGGGTATTATGGCGATTGAAACTGAGTATAGAGATGCGAAGTGGAACGACAGTGGAGAAAAAACTGAGAAAAACCGTCGACAAGGCCGTTAACAAAACCCTCTTTCCCACTAGCAGTGAAGGAGGCTGGGAAAGAGGCACGTACAAACAAGTTTTCTGGAGATGTCAGTCGTTCTATCGGTTGATACGGCAATCAACCTAGCTGATTTCACACGTTATGCCAGCCACGCACCACTTCCGGAGGTGGGCGGTCCTGGATTGACCAGGCGGCCCTGGATTGAAACCGAACGCCCCGGGGGCTTAACGGGGTTTTTCAAGGTGGGAAGTTGCTGCAATGTGTGCAGCTACCCACATACAACCTCCAGGCACGGGAATTACTTCTCTAGCGTGCCTGAGCCCGACCTTTGCCTTTAAGTAGAAGCCAATTTGCTTCTCAAGCGTTTTTAGCGGGATTCAATGGCTCGATTTTACAAGTAAAGGCAGCAGTGAATTGTTATATTTGATACCTTAGTGTCACATAATACAGTGTGGGCGCAAATTAAGGAACCGCGTACGCTTGCCGATCTTCCATTTTGTCAACTTTTGTTCGCATTGTGGTTTTTTTTTACATAGTGCAGCATTATTCTGCGTTCGCGCTATCATAAAACCTTCAACTAAACGGTTTATTGAAATGGTTAAGTCGCAACCACCTGGATGTGTCAGGCTTCGCCATTCCTCCACACAAAGACGCGACGTTCTTTTTGAAGTATTGTAGCAGTTGTGCACAGGCAAACTTGGATCCCGGAGTAAGAATTTTTGTAGTCTGTGCCGAGTTGATTACGATAAACAGCACTTACCATAGATGGAGGTGTGGCAAGACTTATTCAGCTGGGAAATCTAGCGTCTTCAGTCTAGTCTCGCAGTTTTTTTTTGCATGGCGATATTCCTGAGCATCTTGGCGGTCGGGTAGACAGTTTGTGTGATCACCACATTGGCCCCTCGTCACCCGCCTGGACCTTCCTTCTCTGCATGCCTTCCGCTGTCGTCCCTTCTACTGTGACAACAACACCTCGTGAGGTGACGCGCATGCAGAAAAGGAGTTTCATATAGTGGGGGCATCGCCATAATCATGACATGACGGTAGAATGACATATCAATACCTAACTGCACCTTAGTCTGTTGGTGATTGGTTTTCCGCCTCCCTCCCATTCCTCTCCTCCCTCCACCGCCCTCCAGCTGCCACTGCAGCACCATGTGGAATGAACGGAAGTGTGCTAAGCAGGTGTTTATATAGCCCTAAGAGTGTTATCACAACTATCCTGCTACAAAACATTGATATCTCAAATCCTGTAAGCTACCCGATTTGTTAGCGGTTTGTTTATCCCATGAGCTTCCTTCTCACTCAC